AAGGGGGCCGTGATGAAGGTTGTCTTGGGGATCCGCTTTTCGAGCTGGAATCCGGCATTGCAGCTCGAAAAGCGGTCCCCGGCCAATCCCTCCTGAAAAGGGGGCCGTGATGAAGGTTGTCTTGCGGATCCGCTTTTCGAGCTGGAATCCGGCACTCCAGCTCGAAAAGCGGATTCCAGCTCACGGTGGGATTCGAACCCAAGCCCTCTACTAATCGCAGAGAAAGGTCTTGACCACTGAGACAAAGGATCTTGTGGCCGAAGGCGCTTTTGGGTAAATAGTGAGCGTGTCACCGATGTTACCCACTCGAAAAGCGGGCCGTGATGAAGGTTGTCTTGGGGATCCGCTTTTCGAGCTGGAATCCGGCATTCCAGCTCGAAAAGCGGATCCCCGGCCAATCCCTCCTGAAAGGGGGCCGTGATGAAGGTTGTCTTGGGGATCCGCTTTTCGAGCTGGAATCCGGCATTCCAGCTCGAAAAGCGGATCCCCGGCCAATCCCTCCTGAAAGGGGGCCGTGATGAAGGTTGTCTTGGGGATCCGCTTTTCGAGCTGGAATCCGGCATTCCAGCTCGAAAAGCCAATCCCTCCTGAAAGGGGGCCGTGATGAAGGTTGTCTTGGGGATCCGCTTTTCGAGCTGGAATCCGGCATTCCAGCTCGAAAAGCGGATCCCCGGCCAATCCCTCCTGAAAGGGGGTCGTGATGAAGGTTGTCTTGGGGATCCGCTTTTCGAGCTGGAATCCCATTCCGGCTCGCGGATCCAATCCCTCCTGAAAGGGGGCCGTGATGAAGGTTGTCTTGGGGATCCGCTTTTCGAGCTGGAATCCGGCATTCCAGCTCGAAAAGCGGATCCCCGGCCAATCCCTCCTGAAAGGGGGCCGTGATGAAGGTTGTCTTGGGGATCCGCTTTTCGAGCTGGAATCCGGCATTCCAGCTCGAAAAGCGGATCCCCGGCCAATCCCTCCTGAAAAGGGGGCCGTGATGAAGGTTGTCTTGGGGATCCGCTTTTCGAGCTGGAATCCGCCCTAGGAAGGAGCCCTAGAAAGGAGCCTTTAAAGGAGCCTTAGAAAGGAGCCCTAGAAAGGAGCCCTAGAAAGGAGCTTAGAAAGGAGCCTCAGAAAGGAGCCCTAGAAAGGAGCCTTAGAAAGGAGCCCTAGAAAGGAGCCTTAGAAAGGAGCCGAGCCTTAGAAAGGAGCCTTAGAAAGGAGCCCTAGAAAGGAGCCCTAGAAAGGAGCCCTAGAAAGGAGCCTTAGAAAGGAGCCCTAGAAAGGAGCCTTAGAAAGGAGCCTTAGAAAGGAAGGAGCTTCCTACCCCTATACTTTTCCGCGTGTAGTGGCTTCACTTCCGTAAGCAGTGACAGTTTCACTTCCGTACGCAGTGACACCTTTTCCGCTCAGCTCAGAGTGATCATGATTCCGCAAGATGTGACAAGTCTTATGCCGACGCACAACCACCAAGCTATGCCTACATGCCCACTCACAACCATCGCCAAGCTTTAAAGCAAGCACCTTCAAAGCCTGATTTCTGCCCATGCTGAGTGCGTCTGGTTTGTTTTTGGCCCGTCCTGCCCCTTGCTCTTAGTTGCCCTGCCCATGGTCTTCAAGACTTTCTGGCATCCGCCAGGCCTTTCAGGGTGTGTTGTTTTGCGGTACGCGTTAAACCACGTGGGATGAGTGGAAAAACTCACGTCTTGGGCATGGCCCCCTTTGGGGTGCTCTTCCCGGAGCAAAACGGCACACCGCTTTTGCGGGTGCCGTTTTGAGAAACCATGTGGTCATGGGTCAAAACCCAAAATTCCGTAGCCCCCAGTGAACATCCGATTCAATCCAAACACTAAATTCGGTTCTAAAATGGGTGGTGAACTCACCTACCCCAAATGGGATCCCAAAATGGTTTTGAACCATGGCCATGTGTTTCCAAAAGGTCGGGGGCGAAAGTCACAAAGACCAGCCACGTAGAGTTCCCGCTTTAACATCACCCCACATAAAGCATACGCATTTTGAATGGGCCAGCAAAAGGTCCGAACAAATTCGCCAAATGGGACATTAGATTTCGAATATGGTTGGTTGCCTACTAATTTTGCGTTAAAGCCTTTCCGATTTTCCCCATCCCATTTCAACCCCTTGTTGGAGCACTGCTTGCTCATTTGTCCTGGCCCCTTTGTATATGTCTTTCCAGACCACGTTCTTTAAATGAAAGGCTCCCCTGCTCTGCAAACATACGAAACCACCGCACAGTGCAAATGAATGCATTATTTTTGTGTTTCGGATTGGCGGTGTGTGGCTGAGTCCGACCCCTCACCATTGTGGGACATCACCCGCACAGCAAGCGAGCCATGGCTTGGCTTCACAGATTGAAAGTAGCCAGCTAAACCCTTATTTGCCACAATGGGTATGGTCCCGAAATTGACCCCCCCCCAACCAAAAAAAACAAACAACAACGCATTGGTTTCCCTTTGGCTTGCAGTCTTATTGCTTCTCAGCAAAGAATCAGGGACTGAGCCCTTATAAACAATTCAAATGGTGGTGTCCAAGGGGATTTTTAGGCGCATTCCTCGAACCTGTGCATTCCTTGCTTACCCTCCGCTCCACTTCATCGGCCGCACTTAGACTTACATAATATGTTGCAGACTCAATCCCGAAGAAACCAATCAACCTAAAGAAGGTCAAACACATAGAGCCTACAATTGGGTGAAAGAAGATGGCCCCCATTTTAGGCTTACGTAGTCATCTCCTTTACTTCCCCACATTGAGTCACACCATCCAGTTTCACCCAACCGTAAGTGTCTGTCATAACCCTCCCCCCGCCTCCCCCTCCCCCCACACCGCTTGGTTCAGTCCCCGGCAGCGCCGGCAGCCCCGTAAGGTTCCGCCGTCGCAAAGGCGTGAGCCGCGAAGGCGTGGCGTCCCCTAGGCACCCCCAAGCCTCCATTGAAGGGAGGCCCTTATGGCTTTGTCTCATGCGGATCCCTACACACGTACATGTCGATGTACAAATCTGTACAATACAGGTATGTATGAAGATACATACATGAATACATATATATATATTATATCCTTATGATCCTTGCTGGATACTAATATATACATATACCTACGTGTGTGTGCAGATCAAAGAAAAGTATACTTCAAGGTGTCCACCGTTTTTCCAATGCGTGCGTAACATACATATATATATATATATACACACAGACACATTGCAAATACTGTGCCTCTCACACGGTCCATCTCCCTGAGAAATGGGCGTGGCTCTCTGAATGGGAACCCTCGTGATGGGTGGGTGGGTACATGATTGTCCAGACATAACCAGGCATGACAAGCTCCTTTGTGACCTGTGAGAAGAACAACAAGCTCTGGGAAACAAGACAACACTGGAACAACACATACAACATTCCCCTTCCGCCCCTTGTGGCTTCTTCAAAGGACATTTACCGATTGTGGATTGTTCAGCACCCAAACCATGTTCCTTCTCAAAAGCTATGGATTGCTTCGTTTCCTTGTCGTTTCCCCTTTTGAGAGACGCCCATGTTGCAGAACCTGACACCGCCCGACGCGGCATTCTTCGGGCGGGGGATCCCGGCCCTCCAGGTCTTTCACGAGCCGCGGGAGATCCATGAAGCACGTGCCCAGCTCCTGAATTTCGATCTCGCTCGCGAGTTCGTGGCTCCAAGGGAGCTGGGGTGCGCGGTGGGTTTGCCGGGAAGATCCGGAAGAGGGGGGAGTCCAAATGCGGTTCCCATACGGGCCTAAAACATTGAACAGGATGGTGGGGTATTTGAAAACCCAATTCAGTCATGATAGGAGGAGATTGGCATCGTAACTATCTAGGCCCGCACAACTGCTTTCTACTCCCTTGAATATTGAAAAGAGAAAGCATGCAAAAGGCAAACATTACTTGGAACCAAAATGGCGTTCAAAATGTGGAACACCCCAACGTAGGCTGCGGTAACGGGTGATGGCTGCAATAATCACGAGAGCTTGGTGAGTGTCCCCGATTCACACCTGTGGCGATTTGGTAAGTAGGGCGGGCATGTCGTCCTTGGCAGTAGCCAATGACCATGTTGGCAGCCTTTGTCAGACAATTCAGGGAGCTATAGAAGGAGCTGCAAGAGAGGATTCGTTCACGTTTGGATTGTCCCTCATGTCTGTAAATCACGGGCCAAAAGGTAAACCCTGATCCCCTGAACACTGGTGCCGAATTTTGAACGCTGTAAGCAAAGGGAAGACGTCAAACTTCTGGGCACCTTTCTACGATTCACCAATCAAAAGAAATAACGCACACTAAGCAAGGAACCTGCATCATGGGTGGGTTCGCCAATCAACTTGCCCGGAAACTTGGAATAGCCCGCAGATGCGAGAGTTGCCACTTGAGTTTCCTGGAACATCCACCAGGCAACAGGAAGGCCCTTTAAGGTGCAGCAGGACCTCATACACCTATGGCTAAATTGCGAACACCTTGAAACACATGCATGTACTTTCTTCTAGCAACCAGAACAAGCTGTGGAACTGGCCAGAGGGCTTGCGGTTGCCGTGCAGCACGGCTGACTCGCCAAACCGAGTGAGCGTTGCGTGGGAAAAATAGTCATGGATCGAAGACGCGTTTCCACCTAGCCATGTCAGATCTGGGTATCACTGACACTTAGCTTCGGGGTTGGGCAAAACGTGTATCACAACTACAATCAACCCCTGAAAGGGAAACCAGAAGGAGGCTGCGTACCCCAAATGGTGTTCAATGTGTTCAATCATGGGGGCCAATCACCCAACCTACTTACATCTCCCTCTTGAGACTCGTGGAGCCCCTCTGGGCCAACGGGACACTTACATCCCAAAACCACTCGTGCTACATGAGGATCCTCAACTCCAGTTGGCCAGCATGTTTTTTTTTCAACTGGCTGAAATGTATCCTGAAGGAACTCTGTTGAACAGAAACTGCAGCGGGCCAATCCCACCTTCCGGCACGACACCTCTTGCGCCCAAAGGGAAGGATCGAACGCGGCTGGCGTTTGAACAGTGTCATCTGTTGGATGGTAAGCCAAACGGAACGTACGGAACTTCCACACACCAATGTCTCCCAAACACATCCTGGGATCACCACGAAAGAACAAATCCATCCGTTCAGGGCCCTTGGACAAAACCCCCCTTGAGCATCCGTCTCCTGCTTCTGGGCATAGTAGCGCCGCCGCTCCAAGAACCGGGCATCAGCCTGGCAGGAATCGTCCCCATACAAATGGATGGTTTCCTTTCGACTCGCCTTAAAGCCAGCTAACGTGGGCTAAGCCGTTTTGAGAAACTCCCAAAACTGGAAACCCCTGGGAGGATCATCTGGAGGGAACGCCACAACTCCCGCGAATTCGTTTCTCGCCGCTCACGGCACGTCATCCTCACCAATTGCTGACCGGGCTACTCACCACGGCTACTCCCCACAGCTACCCAGTTGTCCATGTCACCCTGGTAAAAAAGGGACCGCTCACTTTTAGCTGGGTAGGTCACAGTCTGTGTTGCTCCTTGAGTTCCCCTGTAAACCAACCGTGGAAAAACATGTACAACAAACAACAACAAAAAGCACGCACAACCCAAAAAAACACACGCACAACCTTCACAAAAAAACACCTTCACAAAAACACGCAGAACCACCACCGATACCCAGTCCAGCCACGCGCCTGGAAGAGGTGGGCTGCCAATCCATCGGCCGCAGCTCGGAGCCTCAAGCATTGAGGCTTGAGTTACCGCAATATGTATGTAACATTATGTATAATATGTATATATATATATATATATCAGCATGTGTGGATATATAGTATTCTAAATATAGACATGTACATAATGTACATATGTAATACTGTACAAATTAACTTTGTTGCCTTTTGTGCAGAACGCCCACGCGCAAACGCTGCTAGGGGGGATTGTGGGGAAAACAGGCAAGTACTATCATCTTTGGGGGGGCCGTGCCTTCTTTGAGAGGACTCCTTTATTTGCGGCGTCTCACTCTTGAGAACTTGTGCGTGTGTGTGTGTGCGCGCGCGTCTCCAAATGCAGGAACCTGCTACTTGGTTGGTTCATGTTTGCTTTTCTTTTGGGATGGGCTACCAAATCAAAGGGCACCCTCGAAAGGACATACCGTTTGCTCATTTGTGAGGATAGGTTTGCATGGATTCCTGTGGGTCCTCCGGAGAGGGCCCTGGCAAGAAAACCTTGGTAAGCCTTAGCCAGGCCAACAACCACAACATAAGCAAACCTTGACATGCCTTAGGGGGTATATAAACTTCCCACAGCATGCCCTCTTCTGCAACAATTCCAATACCATTCCAATACCCACATTTTGGGGATCCAAGTGAAGGGTCATGGTGAGCTCGTTGTACCCCTCGGCGGAACCCAGTCGAAACGTGGTGCCAGGGGCCGCGCATGCCAGGCTCGTCCACGTTGAAGGACAGGCCACCGGACCATGCGCAAAGCTCCTTGCGTCAGGTTGCAGAAAAATATGGGGGTGTCTCACATTTGGGAACCCCAAAATGGTTGAAATGGTTGACATCCTTTTCGGTTCCCTTTAGAACCATCCAAACAAGCCCCCGACCCTGAAATTGTTTTTAGGACCACTTTCCGTAATTTGAAGGAATGCTGACTCCAACACAGTCGGACCCCTTAAGTAGCCTTCCCCCCTAAATTCGACGTCGCAAGTCTGAAATGGCTTACACTCCTGGAGCAATCGCCTCTAGAGGGGTCTTGCTGGGTTCCATGTGGAGGCGCCAAGCGTTCTTGAGGGCACCTTTGGATATCATTTCAAACGGAAGCCAGATTTGGGCAAGAAACGGTCACTCAGCCACCCTGGAAAACCTTGAAATCTGTTGGAACCCCCTTGGGCTTTGAGTGGCGTTCATCAATCTAGATGCGCTTGTTTCCCTTCCAAGGAATCGGACCAGGGGGGGGGGTTGCTTAAACATATTTTGCCCAACCGCGATTCCAGCACAAGTTGTAATAATTGAAGCGTTTGGGCCTTATTTGGAAGCAGGGGCAGGGGGTAGTTGGGGGGGGGGAGGTTGGAATTCTGGGACAGCTGAACCAAAAACAAATGGCTGTGCCTTTCTTTTTTTCGCGGGGTTCCGAAAGGAAACCCAAAGGAACACCGCCAGATGGTCGGTCCGAGCCTCCGAGCCATAGATACGAGCCTATGTTGAGCACCCTCAAACACCACCTACCTAAAACAAGGAGGCACAACAAACGCCAAATGTCCATGTTTTTTTGCGGGGTTTCCCCGATTTCAAAGACCCCCCCCAACTGAGGTTTGGCTTAAAAAATGGGGTGGTGTCCCTCTGATTCCCCTTTTAAGTTGCTGGTGCTCAGCGGGGAATGAGGGAATGACCGTCATAAACCATCCAACTGGTGGTTTCCTTTTCAGGGAACTCCTGGGTTCATTCCCACGTTCCCCACCTATCGCACCAAGTTACATCAACCCGTAAAAAGCTTGGGTGCTGTAGATCCCCCAGCAACAAGTTTAGCTTTTTGCTGGTTAAAAGGACATATGAGGGGAATCCAAAAAGTCAAAGTCTAAAGATCCAACCCGATAGCAGTAGCGAAAGGGTACCCCCCCCCATTCGCAAGACACAGCCACCCAACGTCCTCGAGCGCGGCCAGGCGCTCTGAGGTGAAGTCGCTGCCGAAGGCCACGGCCTCTGGTAATCTGTTGATGCCCAACCCACGTGGCGATGGAATACGAGAAAACCCACTAGCAAATTCTGGGCTGCCCTCAGATCCCCCGATAAAAGCTTAACTGCTGGTGGCTCAAATGGAAACTACCACTAAGCACTAAACAAATAAATTCCCATGGATTCTGGTTGGTGCACTTGCATTTTCCTTGCGGCATCTGGTCAAACCCTTTAAATGTCCATGGGTTGTCGTCTTGCAGTTGGGGGCATCCACTGTATCTGGCTGTAATATAAGGGCCTGAATATAATTAGTTTAGAATGGGGTTCGGTATTTTAAAACCATCGGAGCGGAACCAAGGAGCAAAACATCAAATAGCGAGGACCAACCTATACTTAGAGTGTAAGTTCCGGACATGACTAGTTAAAAATCATGGTGTGCATCGCGCTCCTTTGCCAAGGGGAACCTAGGTGTCCCTTCAGAAACAAGGAGTTAAACCCAACTGAAGCCAGCGCCGCCCATTTCTGACCGAACTGACCTGGAAAGGACATTTATGCATATCACATACACCACGAGCAGCCCTTGCACACAAGGAGACGCTGCCCCAAGTATCCCTAACTCAAGGAAAAGAAGATCTCTTCCGCCTTCCCAATGCTCTGCCCCAACCAAGACCAGGCGCCAACAAAAGCGCCAGCAAGCTCTGCCAAAATCATCCATCCAACATATGCCCTCGGCAACCGTAAAGGACTAGCTGGGGTCACCCTTTTTCCAACAACCAAAGTAGGTTGCGTCCCCGAAAGAAAGCTTTCGCCTTCCAAAACCCAAGGTCGTCAGCTTCCAGTTGGTGAGCGCTCAGGAGTTCACAGTGGCTGCTCAGGAAGCAGCCAAGCATCAGCAAGTTGCCTCTCTCTCCCCTGACATCGGTGCAGATCAGCGCCGTGTCCAGTACTATGAAGAGGAAGGGTAGCTTGGCTGAACATGTATCCCAATGTACATGTTGATTGCATTCGCCCGGGATCCCTGCATGTCTCTGTTTGAACCTCCTAAAGTTGCAGATTCATTGGAAGACAGATAATTGTGAAGTGTCAGGGGGAATTTTGAAATGCAGTGATCCTGCATCCCTGCATCCCTGCTCCCGTGATCGATGAGGTCGCTCCGCAACAACAAGACAGGCTGAACATCAGACCTGCTAGATGCTGATCGTCCTGGCGTGACATATTTCGGCCACAAGCTGCAGTAGCCCATGGTTTAATCCTGGGTTCGCCAGGACAACATCACCATGCCTGGGTTTAGGCAAACCAATCCGACAGGGTTGCTCCAAAGAAATAGTAGATATTTGGGCCCTGGCGTATTGGGGAAGCAAAAAAAAACACGATCAATTCGTTGCAAGACTTGGCTTGCCCAGACTTGGCTTGGTCGTTTGGGAACGGCTCGGAACCCTGTCCAAAGACACTCAAGTACAGCCGCAAGACTCAAAACCCAGCGGCTTCTAGGAAATTCAACCATGCCTGGTGGTTCTAGCCGTTTTGGGCTGTCGAAAAATATATGAATCGAGAAATCAGCGGCATCCGTGCCTTTTTGAGCAAACCTCAAACAAGGCACAATCACAACCAGGCTCTAAAGGTGTCTACCCAAAATAACGTCATGAATCAGGAGCGGCGGCAAAAAAGATTCTGGCTGCGACTGGTCTCAACTTAGGATCTTGGGCCCCGCGCTGAGAGGCAGGGCACCTGCTTCCCATGGCACAACGACCTCCCGGCCACCTCAAGCGCTTCGCTGATGGAAATTCCCTGACCAAGATCCGGAAATATTTGGCTTCCGAAACCTGAAACAAGACTCGGATTCTCAATGGGTTTTGGTCTCCCTAGGTTTCCCCTCAAAGTCCGGCCCAAAACTCTTCCAGGCTCCACGCTGCCAGGGCCTCCGGAATCGTCTCGGTGGACCTATGCCATGGAGCTGGAAAAAGAATAACCCGCTTTTTTGTTGGAGCCCCAAAAAGAGAGCGCAGCTAGCTTGCTCAAGGCAATGAATAATGCCCCCTGAGAGCCATCCTGTATAATTTTCTTCAAGAGGATCCACTGGTTCATTTGAAAAAAAACACGGTTGTTTCCCTTCTAGAATCGGCAAAATACTGTAACCATTACTGCCACAAACACCCGGCTGAATCGGATCAGCTCTTCGCACATACCTAATGAAAATGCCAAACAGAGTATCATCGTCATGAGCTGCTGGCTCGCTCTCTATCTCTCTCTCCTTCTCTCGCGCTTTCTACCCCTCTATGCCTATCTAAAAATGCTGCCCTCTATCCTTTTTGGTTGGCCTCACATGCCGTGGTCTGTGTGCGAGCGAATGCATGAAGCACTTGCAAGGCTGACACCTCAACGGACTGTTCACACGCCAAACGCCAAGGTCGTTTCTGGCCGAGTCATACTTTGGAGTGGCGTCTCCTGTTGGGGAAAGGACAGGTGTCCTTTTGGAAAAAATAGATGGGCACATGAAAAGGAACCACACTGAAACCAGTGCACCCCCTATGCTCAACCGAAGGCTGCAGGTTCCTTAGTTCAGGTTGAGTCCACAAAGGCAGGCGCTTCAACACTTGGTTCAGGCTGCTGCTCAAGAGGCTGCCGCCCGTGTGCCCAGCCACTAGCGAACCAAATGCTACAGGCTAGAAGAGCGCCACTCGCGAGTTCAGCTGAAGAGACAAATGAAGCAACAGCAACAACAGGCAGCCCAAGCATCTGCGCTTGAAAAAAAACAGCCTAAGGTAACAATGATTCTTGCAATGAACTGAGCGAGACATCTTACCACTCAGTTGCGCCCAAAGCAGCTTGCCTTTTAAAAGGTTATAGAGTAGAACCACCGAGGTGTGGACACCGTGGTAGTAGAATTTCGGTCTACCCAAAACCCACGGTAAAGAATTCCAGGGCCGGCCTTCCCCACTTCTGGTTGGGACTATCTCCTTACAAACCTTCATCTCTCCCGGGATCTGCGACTCCCGGCGTGGACTGAGCGCACAAGATCAGGGCTGACACCTCAGGATGACAGGGGAGGGGTATCCCAGTGGCTCGTTGTACCAGTATGGTAGGTAGGTAACCAAGGAACCACTGGTTGAAAGCTGAGGCAATTCAGAGAATCACGGGGCATGGCTCCCTGTGTTTCTCCTTCAAACACCATCCCACCAAATGGAAACACACAAGGCCCAAAAGAAGACTTTGGAGCAAAGCTCAACTATGTTCGGCACCCTGCCCAATTCCGCCCCCCCCCCCCCACTCCATCCCCCCCAACAAAAAAGACAAACAAACAAACAAACAAACACGTAGAAACACCCGCAAGCAAAAAACAAGTTGACCATCATGACCACCCAAAACCCTACATGTCCAGCCGAGCACGGGACGTTCTGAGATCCCTCCACTGCCTCCTTGGCCGCAGCCAAGCGCGACCTGGGAACTTCGCTGGGTGCTAAACGAAGCCTTTGCTCCTTTGGGCCATAGCTCAGTTCTCAAGGGACCAAATGTAAACAAACCAAATAGAGAAGGGAGAGAGGAAATGAGGAGCTAAATAAATGAGGGAACAAGGAAATGAGAGAATAAGCGGAATCCAAAAAATATCTGTCCTCATTTGCTTGGGCTATTTAGCAACCGGGAGCTAAAGAAATGAGGGAACAGTGAGAGAATTAGCAAAATCAACAAAAATATCTGTCCTCATTTGCTTGGGTTATTTAAGGAGCGTACTCAAAGGAATGCACCTGGATCACATTCAATTGAACTTCTCAACTGATATCGAGGCCTCTTTGGGTCGGCTGGGGCCGGGCTGCTTCTGAATTGAAGTGTGTCAAGAAACGCGGGGGGGTGGGGGTCTTTACCTGGGACAAGCACCAAATTCAAGGGTCACGACCCCATGCCTTGCATCACAACCCTCATGCGGCACTTAGCATGGCCAGTGGCCAGGTAAATCAAAAAGCACCGTAGGCTCTGAAATGCCTCCACCAGGACATGTTCACGGCCGGTGGGAAAGACGTGTGCAAATAGAATTGCCAAAGCCCAACATGCAATTGATTTGCACATGTTCCAAGAGCCTTCCTGGGAATCACAGAGCAAACCGCATTCCTAGAATAATTATGATGTCAACCCCTGACTAAAAAATGAACATTTATCATGAAAGTCAGGCATTCTATCCAAAACGTTGGTTTACTCTCAAACCCATCCAAAACGGTCAAAATCGTTTCAAAACAACCGCTCCCACTAAACCAGGCCAAACAAAAGGCCTCATCCACTAAAAACTGGTCCAGTTCCGTCACAATCCAAACAAACGGCCTGGGCACCCCTCAAACCTTTGCACATATGATATTCCCAACACTGACGAGGTGATTCCCAATCTGTCTGCTTTTCAATGTAGGGTAAAGACAAGGACCCTGCAATGATGGTAGCTTTTCGCCCAAGGAAAGCCATGAAAAGAAGGACAGCTATAACGGTGAGCCTAGTGCTGACTCTGGCTGTTTGTTTCTGCCATTCCAGGCGCATGAGGATCCCGGCCATAGTGGAGGCACCCGAGCCGAGGGCACCTTGGCGAACCCAAGTGCTTCCCGACCAGCCCAGCACGCAGAACAAGCTACAGCACAATTGGCCAGTCGACAGCTATCTCAATGTTGCATAGGGGTGCAGGGTCGCATCGCACAGCCCTACTGAAGGCAGTACCGGTTTGGCCCAGTACCAGTGCTTCGGGAAAGCAAAGGGAAGACCCGCTTCTTGGGGTAGAGGGCTCTGCAACATCCAGGGTTTCCTCAGAGGAGGGGTATCCATCCCGATTGGAGGTCCGATTCGTTGCCATGGGTCCCTTTTCCTGATTGTTGCACACCTGCACGCTGACTTGCAAGAAAGCTGGGTCGTTCGCAACCTTCTATCAGGAGAAACAACAAATAAAACAATCGAAACACATGCAAAGCTTCCTGAAGTAATGATGAGTAATGTTGCATATGTCTGGTCAAACTTAAAATGCAAGAACATACCGGAACCCAAATATGCCAGCAGCCGACTTCTCAAAATAGCTCGGACCTGGCACTGCCCACATACCATGCAGCATCCAATTGTCAAAGAACAGGCCAAAAACATGCCGTGGCTCACTTCCCCAACACCCACAATTAAATGCACAAAGTAGACGTTTGTCGAGAAGGCTTTGTGAAGCCGGCAAACCTACGAGCAGCATCTAAAACAAAACAACGCCAAACAAAAAAAAAAACATGCAGCAAAGCTAAGAGCTTCTTTCCAGCCCCATCATTCAAGGATACGCGGCCGTTGACAAATTGGGGGGAGGGGACCCTAAATGTTTGCAAACCAAATGGGTGCTAGGGTGCTACACACATGATTCTCCAGCAGTCAAAATGGAACCCGCTATACAATTAGGTCCATTTTAGGGTCTGTGCAAATGTGAAACCAAACCAAATGTCGGTGTGAAACCAGCTCTGGCTCATAGATGTTGGGTCCTTCCCTCGATGCGAAGATTTCCTCCATCCGGACCTGGCCTCCTGGAGCCAGTTGTTGAGCCCGGCCTCACGGAGCGATGCGCTTTTTCTTGGGGCCCAAACTAACTGCCTTCCTTCTGGCTTCAAGGAAACAAACGCCCGATGTTTGAGAGTCGCAGGCTCCCAGATGAATCGGAGCCGATGGAGCAACGATTCCTGAGGGTTGACAAATATATCGGCCTTTCAAAGAACAAAGACACTTTCGCCTTCAGCTGAGTCATGATCAAACCCTGGGGCCCCACATGGTGTTCTTGTCCGTCATACTCCTTTGACTGAAAAACATGTCGTACAGTATTGGTTTACACTTTGTTTTGTATAAATGCGGGCCCCATGCTGGTCGTATGTCATACGGGCAAATATGAGCAAATACGTGGGTTTGACCCAAAAGCAAACAAAGAAACGGCGATACGGGGTGCCAGGCTGGTACTAGAATGGTCTGCGCCCCTTCTGCGTGTGAACTAGCCCAAGCCGGCCAGCGTCGCAGGTCCTATTGGCAGAAGGACTTTTCAGCGGACACAGCGGAAGGGATGGGGTGGGGGTGGGGTGGGGTGGGGGTGGGGTGGGGTGGGGGTGGGGTGGGGGATCCTTCGCGGACCCCTACATCGCCTAAAATCACAAAGAGTCCAAGTGGCGCAAGTGGCCCATTCCAGATTTGGTTTGGTAGGGGACTAGCCCCAGGCGCTAAATGACCAGGATCCTAGCCCCATGTGCGTCGGCCAATCTTGCCCTGCCTCGCGGTCTCTCTGCCTCCCTGGCTCTCTGTCTCTGTCTGTGTCTCTGTCTCTTTCCCTCTCTCTCTCTCTCTCTCGCTCTCTCCCTTTTCTGAGTTGTTTCTTGCAAATCGGCGCTTCCCCTCTTCGTCCCGTCAAAGAGCAAAACAACATGGTCTTGATTTCTGCGGGCCATCATTTCCTTCAACTGCCCGGGACAATTTCAATGCAGCTTGAGACTGGAATTGGATGCGCAGGTGCCATCAATTCAAGCCGGCGGTTTAAGCTAAGATCCGCAAGCAACCCTTGGCTGCAAGAAGCACATTAAGCTCCTCAAGCGTACTCTTTGGATCTCGCCGTTGATGGATCCTATTCTACAACAATTCCAGAACTTGACCCAGTGGTTCCATTTACCTATCGCAGGTAACCATTAAAACTACCCTTTCAACACCAAAAGGAAAATGACGGGTCTTTTGGATCCACTGGGTGAAGTAAGGTTCCCGTTGCCCATAGATGGGGTTTCTCAAAATAGGAATTGGTTCCCTAAGATGGCTGGTTACTGTTGTGCTCCCCTTTAAAAAAACTAACCAAGAGGGGGTCCAACATTTTGAGAACCTGCCTCACTGGCAAATGCACCGATATTTCTGCAATGATTCTTGTGCAACAACAATTCCGAAACCTGAGAATAGGGGATCCCCAAGACTCTTTTCCTCTGGAATCAGATGTGGGGAACCCCAACAAAAGGACCAACCAGTGGAAATCGCGCGCCTACCCAACCAGTGGACCGGAACCGCCACATATCCCTCGCCCAAAGCTTTGGGCCCCCTGCCGCACTGAAGCCGCCCGGGGCGAACTCTCGGCTGTAGGCCCCTCCCTCCTGGGAATGGCCATGGTGTGGTCAAAGAGCTCACACAACAAATTGTGGTTCCTTCTGGCGTCCATTTACTTTGAACCGCCCGAATATAACAAATAAAACACCGTGTTCGTGCTTCTTTTCTTTTTTCTCGAGAGTATAGTACTGTAAGTCGACTGTAATGCTGTACGGGGCTGAACAAATATTGCATGGGTGTGTGGTGTGCTTCAATACGAAGTTAAGTCCTCCCCATAAGGGAAGGAAACCGCAAGCAACAAAAGCACTATTCTCCGGGGGGGTCACCCCCCTTCTCCCCATTTTCAAAGTCAACTAAAGATACTTTTGGTGTTTGCGTCAATTCTTGGTGAGTTTCTGCTGTGGTGGGAAATATAATTATTTACCTTTACTTTGCCAGTCCATGCTGGGCTGTCCAAAGTGATCCCCTTTTTGAACTTTTGAGTTACATGGAACCCCAACCACTAACTAACCTAAGAAGCTAAAAGTCTAAAGTCTATGGGGGCCCAGAAAACACACCCGGAAAACCCACCCAGAAAACAGGGGGCCCTCAAGCCCCCGACCCCAACCACGCCACAGATCCGCATCCATTTGGGGCCCGGGCAGAGCTCAAAGGCTGGGAGGCCCGGAAGATCAAGGACCTCGTGGGAGCTGAGGTCCAACTGAACCATCCGAGTGGACAAATGAAATCAGGTTCATGGGCAACACCCAGTTGTGTGACCGGACGCAACCTTCGCCCAGAAAGGAAGGCTAAATCTGCGGGGAAATTCTGCTCGGTGCATGAAAAGTGTCCTGTGGAAATGTCAAAACCAACAATTTTGTGAAGGAAGAGACTCGGCAAACCAAATCCAAGGCTTAGGGTTGGGAAACCGCCCCGAGGCGAGGTCCGACTTTGCGGCCCCCTGTTGCTTTTTTGTTTTTTCTTTTCGGAAAGAATCAGACGACGAATAAAAGGGAGCCAGTTGGATGGTTCGTTTGGAGGCATTCACGGGAAGTGTCCTGCAAGTTGGCTGCTTTGAGGTCCCTGTTTGGCTTCAAGGGGGAATTCCCTCAAAATGGTCAGATTGGCGTCCTCTCGCCCTCCAACAAAATCGCAAGCGGGGTACTTGAATGGAAGGGGCCAAGTACCTGTCGCACATATATGTCGCATATGCTTCAACATCACCAGGTTCACCTTAAAAAAACTAGTGAATCAAACTTGGCCGGGAACATGACATGTTCACCAGACTACATGACTTTCGCAGCTGGTGGGTTTGACAACACCCACACCATTGGGTAACAGGACGCCAGCTTCACCCAGAAAGGGAGGCTAAATCTACTGGGAATTTCTGCTCTGAAGGCTGCGAACATGTTGTGGTGGATATACAGGTGTCTTTTTTCAGGGACCCGTTTTGGGATGGACTTTCAAGGGAAACTCAAAGGACAACCACCATTGTAGAGGTTTCCGTTTTTTTCAGACAAAATTATTTTGAGGCAACGCTTGCTCCTGGCGTTCAGGGAGTAAATGCCATGCTGAAACAAGCACCTGCAACAAGTGGTTTGGACATGGACGGCCTGAGATGCCATGGAACCTGAGTTGGCCATTTTCCTCACCTGGTGAATTTCATTTTGGGAGGGTATTACTCTTGGCATTTGGAAGTTTCCTGTGGCTGCACTGCTGTCTCATAGCAGGCTTCCGGGATTCCCGGCTTCACTGCAACTGGCCTGTTGTGTTCTTTTGTGTATCAAAAAACATATTGTTGCACACATATGTACACATTGCACAACAAAACATGATATCACATCTATGTATCTTCAAACATCATGCAGCCTACATGGAAGCTCACTTGGAGATGTTGCAAGCCATAAAAAGGAGACGTCTAGGCTACCTTCCGATTTTTTTCCATGTTGGCAGCTGGGTGAATGCACCAAACAGCCACAGGGACCATTGGCAAGTGTATCCTTACGGGTCCCTTGCCGCAAACACCTTTGTGCATGGTTGTGGGAAATAGCCCTTTTGATACCCAAATGGTTGTCCCATGACTACTATGTTACTTTGAAGAAGACTCTGTTATCCACACCCATGCCTCTGTGCGGCCAAGCGCCTCCTTTGCTCAGACTTGGCTGTGAGCATAGCTGGCACCAAACAAGCCAAAGCAACACATTTCCATTAAGCATGCTTCAAGCCCTCGCAATCGCAGTTCCGTGCCTTTGGACCTCCCTTGCGGCTGACGCCGGCAAAACACCTCTCACAAAATCTTGGTGACTCAACCTGACACCAGGGACCCTAGAAACTTCACTATAGGCAAGTGAGTGTCTCCTTCTTGTCACGACAAGATGGACCAACCAAACAGCAACATGGCCCCTCCAAATGCAGACCGGGCCGTCCATTGCTGAGCATGGCTGTGGAAAAGCACCCTCTCTGTGATACCTCTCTGTGACACCCCCTTGAGGGGGATTCCCCTGGCCACAATATACACCATGTCCAAATCCATATCAAGAACCATATTCGACACCATCCAGCTTAAGATGAAGCAGGACTGCATCTTCCACAAAACCAACAACCTAAAAATCAAGAAACAACTCAGGTCCGGGTTGAAACCAACTGTTTACCTTTTTGTGTTTACTGTGGAAACCAAACCAAACAACCTAAACATTTAACATTCGGAAATCAACACCCGACATGAAACAAACTGCCTACTTTTTTCTTGGGAGAAGGTGCCCGTACCCCCGATCGGTCCCAAATGGACCTCTGAACCCGCTGGGCTCTCAGGCGCGCTGGGCATGGTGGGCTCGCCCTCGAAGCGCAAGACCAAGACGCGCCTTGCGGAAGCTCCGCTTTTGTGCGGCGGAGCCCTCCCGTTGCTCCGATTGGTCCTCCAGAGATTAGAATAAGCGTACTTTTTGTTTCTTTTCTTCGGTTTGAAGCGTATCAACTTTTTTTGTTTTTGTCTATTTTAGGGGAACCCTCCCAAACAAAACAGGGGAGAGAAGGGTACTGGGGGACCTAGGCTTTTCTGGCACCAGTTGGATGGTTCTTTTCGGGGGCATGCCCTCATTCCCTGAGCACCAGCAAGTGTTGCTCGTTGTTTTGCGGTAAAACGGGCAACCATTTGCTCGCCCTAAAACCAGCGAGCCGACGTATCATGGTTATATACGTCTGGGTTCTGGACTTTGCTTCTGCAGCTGCCACAGCTGGAGAACAAATGGCTCAACAGGTTGAAAGGGAGGCAAACAAATCCAAACCCATTAAACAAAACATGCAAAACACGTTAGCCCAAGCAACCCGTTTGGCTTCCAAAGCCCACCGACTAGCGGAACTTCGCCTGGGTCTGAGCATGGGCTCCATAAGCTGAAGCCTGGCGGACGAGTCATGGAGCGTTGGCTTCTAATTTGAGGTCCTGGGTATGAATTCCAATGGGGGACAAAGGGTGGGCATTTGGGGATTTGTGTCCACCAATGTGGCAGAAGGTTCCACAGTTAAATCATTGTATGGACTCTCAACTTGACACCTCTTTGAAGCGTATTTGTGCAAAGTAATTATGCCAAAAAGGAGTTGGCAATCGAAAACACGAAGAAAAGGTGGGTCATTCCAGATCTCCTATGGTTTCTCTTGTTGAACCTGCCCTAAAAGACATTGAAAGGTTGTCCCATTAAAATTCGTTGGTTATGAGTTGTGAGTGGTGTGTCTCAGAGGTTTCCCCTTTCCAGGAGCTAATCCATGAAACATCCTCGCCACTCGGGATATGGTTTGGATTGGACGTGGGGGTGCTCGTTAGGTGATTCCCGAAATTGTCGCGGAATAGACCCAACGTCGGCTTCCCTTTGAGCCCTCAAAAGACGTTTGGTGGGCAGCCCGGCTTGGGCTTGCTTGAAAAGGAAACCACCCATATTGAAGGTACCCTGGTGAAACAAGACACATCCGCATGTATCCTGTAATGGGGACCCCGAAGTGGTCCAAACCCGAAAGGTATTTCCAAAGAAACTTCCCGGGAAAGGCACATGAAGCTTCCATGCGCTGCCAGCTTCAGTTAGGGACACCTTGGAATGAGGAATCGGGAGCCTCCGCGGTTGGACACTAGCACAGAAGGAACCTCGCCATTTGCAGTATGTTGAGACATGACCATGTGTATGGTTAGAGGTCCAGGTCCTAACATCACGAAGCTCCAAGGCATTCCTGGAGCTAAAGGCATGTTAAGGTATACGCATATTTAGGTATAGGCATATTTATAGACGACCAAGGATTAAAACCCAATTGCGCACAAGTTCATGGCCCCAAAGCTGGAAACCCTTGCGCCGAACATTCGAGATGGACTGTCGATGCATTCTGGGCCAGGCTCGCTGACATGCTTGTCCTTGCAATCCGTGAATGCAGCATGCAACATGTGTGCCGCATCTGCGAACGTAGCTCTTCCCTTGCAAGATGGTACCTGAGTGGCTGAGAGGCTGTGCTGGATGCTTGGCAGTCGCAGAGTTCAATCAAGGGTGACTTGTTGAAGCAGAGGTCAGAATCACGTCCCTTTGCAGCGCAGCCTCCTTCCGCTCTTCATATTGGTGTAATGCAGTTTCCGATACTGGTCACTGGACATCCCGCGAAAAGTATGGTGCGCATCCCTAAAAACAGCCGAGCACTAGCAGTCACTAGCAAGGGCCCACTTTGAGCGGTTGACGTCGCTCTCCCCAGCTACGGCTACAGCCCCTCCCCCTTCCATCCGTCCATACAGCCCTCCCCCCCCCCCCCGGCATCTCGAGAATGAGGCCCAGCCGCGTGCCGTACCTGCGAAGACAAGCCTATCAACCCTGGGGGGTAAAAGGCTTTTAAAACAAAGGCAGTTACATGAACATCCTTTGTTTGACTAGCCGGGGGATGGGGGCCTGGGTGGAATTCCAACTTTACATTGTCAGCAACAAGCCTTTTCCAAACGAAGCTAGACTTGCGAAGGCCTCAACGTTGAAGCAGCACATTTCTGCATCATCAAGGAACAATCGTGGTCTTCCCGAAACATCCATTCAGCAGGACCTTTTCAAACCCAGCAGCAAACAACGCCAGTCAGGACGAATGTGAGTGGTTTTTCGCCTGCCAAATGTCACGGCGTTTTACGGTCTTTCACTGCAAAAAAAGGGCGTTCACGCCAATTTCACGGTATTTTCACGATTTGCCCTTGTCGATATCCCATTGCTACACCCATGATCAATGTCTCTAGAAATCCCACAAAGTTGAAAACCTTGAGCATTGAACAGCTTCAACATGTCTACATGGTTTTCGCGAGGCTTTGGAAAGCGTACGTTTCAGCCACAAGCACTGCAAAGCCATTTGGCTACTAATGCGGCCAACACAAAACGGTCAACCCAATTAAAAGCGTCCAGCTTGCAAACAAAGGACGTTCCCCACATTTCACGGCCGCTTCCTAAAGGCCTTTCTTTTCAAAGCCCCCGAACCCCAGGGTCAAGAGATTGGCAAAGGAAACATCTGTGGGAGTTCGTGACCCCCTTTTGGACAGTTTTTACAAGGGAACCAAAAGGAAATAAACGATTTCTCGGGTATTTTGAGCAAACCCATAGGGGCGTCCTTGTTTCGAGGACGCCCCTGTTTTAGGGGAAGCTTTGAAGTGAAAGGGCACACGGCTTGCGGAAGAGACCAATTCACTCACACTCATGTCTAGTCCTCGCGATGTTGAGCTTTTCCCTACGGAAGCTCCTTCTTTCTGAATGTTTATGGCCCCTTAACTTGCCATACATATTCAGGGAGTCAAGTGTGCCACACGCGGAGCGCATCTCCCTTTCCTTTCAGCCGTCTCTTGCGCTCGTGCAGAAACTTGGCGCTCTCACGGCTCAAGCCTCGGCAAGGGCACACGACCTGAAACGACATGGCCATGGGTCAAAATTCCGTACCCTCGGTGGGTTCCGGAAGATGGTGGGCTTATTCATTGAGGGGCCCTTTTCAGGTCGGGGGGAAGGCAAAACGACATTGAGGGCCCCCCCCGTCCCCCTGCCTCACCCCACCCAAGCCTTGTGAAGCGGCTATGGGAAAAGGGGCAACCTGTCTTTGGTGCACATTTGGTAACGGTGGGGTCCATCCGGCGTCTCGAAGCACGGACTTGGAGCTCAAAACAGGCTTCGGTGTCCCCTTTCTCCCTTTTCGCCAAGGGGTACCCTCAAACTGCCCTTCTGAACAAAACAAACATCACCTTCTGTTTAAGCAAATCTCCTATTTTGGGGGGGAAGAAGGGGGCATAGGTACCCACCGGCCCGGGCCTTCGCTTCAGTCGCTTTGGGATCCCCGGCGCAGGTTCCGCGTGGCCGCCGCGTGGGCCGCCAGGTCCATGCGCCGCAGCGCCTCTGGCGCCCCGAAGGCCGCGCTCAGCGAGGAGCTTTTCGCTGGGTCGGCGGACGCCGACTTCGCCGCGGCGCAGAAGGCGGCCCAGTCCAGCCTCGGTCGCGTGGCCCCGGATTTTCTGATGCCGGCTGAAGTCGGATTTTTTTTTTGGGCGCCGGGGAATGCAACTTCCGCGAGAAAAAAAAGGGGTCCGGTGTGTTCGACGTGTTGGGCCAACAAAAAGGGATGGCGGTTGGTCGGTGTTTTGTTGGGGCGCTTGGTTTTGGTTAAGGGGAAACTCCCTTCAAAACGGGACATAGGCACCATTGGAGGTCTGGGTCGCAAACAAGCCGCGCAATAGGTGGCTCCCTTTGTTTTCCCTTTCAAACCAAAAGGAGGTGACTCAGCCAAAAAGAAGGGTGGCAACCAATTTTGAAACGTGCAATCATGCTGTCTATTTGAAAAAAGGAGGGTCATAATTGCAAGTGTCCAACATTGACGAAGGAGCCCAGCTGGAAAGAGGTTCGGGTGCAGCGCGAGTAAACGTCCAAAAAGAAAGCGGCGACCATGGTTGAAAAGTGCAACCATGCTTGACCTCCTTAGCAAGGTGGGGGTCGCAAAAGGGTTCAACAACCCTCATAAACCCTCAGTGAATCAGGCAACGGGGCAGCGGTGCAGCCCGTAGCTCAGCACCAAGCTGAAAGAAAGGATACCAAAAATGGCACCCTAGTCCTGAAATCCGTTCTGGAAGGATGGAAGCAAGGAAGCAAAGTGCAATGTGGCCTGACAAGGGGCACAAGAACCTCCATGCAATTCCCTTGCTTTTCACGCGCATGTGGGAACAGGGCATAACGAAATGACTAGAAGGTCTGAACAGATTGGCATGCGTTGGGACACGCAGTGGCATGTAGTAATTTGCCCCGTCAGCTGAGGCAAACCGCCACACCCTTCCCGTATGTACCAGTCTCGCTTTTCTCTCAGAATCTCTCTCTCTCTCTCTCTCTCTGTCCAGGCATGCATAATATAATATCTCTATAAGTGTACATCGTTCAAGCAGACGCCTTTGTGTCTGACGTTTCAGTGACACCTGTTCAAGCCTTGCCGATGCGGGAACATCCTTGCCCCCTCGAATGCGTGCAGCTTCGTAGCTTGCAAGTCTAGCAGCCGGCTGCGAGCAATAGCTTCACAGCTCCACAATGGTCTCTCTGATTCATTAAGACAATGAGCCTGAGTGTCATAACTTACCATATATGTAGAAAAGCGGTCAACAAAGCACCACTACGCCTCGACCCCTCCTGCAAGCATACAAGATCTGTACAAGAGTTATCTCTTTCCAAACGAAAAGGATTGCTGGTGTAATTGAGTTCTTGCCTTAAACAATCCTTACAAAGGGTTTTTTTTATTGAACTCATCCTCCAACATCCCCTTGCCTCGGTGGGTAAAGGCTTCCACTTCATTTGTGTAGTCTTGCAGAACAAGAACTTAATGGGACTACGGTCACCACCAAAAGAAATGGAACCAATGAAATCCGCGAGTGCCCCTAAAAACTCGTGGTCTGGCTGTTTTTGTAGAAGCAAGTATGCCGAACCTGCACAAAGCGGGCTGGGGACCCTCAACCCCCACAAAAAAGCTCTGCGAGTTCCATGGCATGCACCAAATCCAGTTAGGGGCCGGGGCCAAAAACGATTGGCTTCTTCTTGGCTGCTGTTGAAAGCACGCCCAATCAGCGCAGCCTCAACAAACATGAAGCCTTTCCATGGGCTGTGGATCACCCCAGGCCGCGCCCCAGCCCTCTCAGAGGCGCCACAGATCCGCTCGCTTCCGCAGGGTCCAGCTTTGACTGTGGCACAGCACCGCCACCTGCCACCCGCTCTGCCGGATCTCCTTCATGGCCTGCCTGCCCGAAAAAGAAAAAGAAAAAGAAGGCCAAACGGGGTGCCAAACCTACATGGAGTGCGATGGCTCGAACACCTCGTGACTTGGCCCCTCAGTGCCAATGCCCTCAAGAGCGCCCTTTGTCCAGGGTGTTTCTCAAAAATGAGGTCCCCGGACATGCCCAGTTTTCTGTTGGCGGCCCTTTTGAATCCCAGGTCAAACTGATCCGGTGCTTGAAATCGGCTGCCGTCAAATGAAGTGCAAATAGTCCAAAAATAAGACCAAATGGAAAATCTACAATTAGACAGCGTGGTCACATGTTGGCTGAATTTCCTGCTTTCCGGTGGCTGGTTTTGCAAACGAGATTGTCACAAAGCATCACGAGCACAAGTCTGGAGAAGTTACCAATGCAATTCCCCACCCTAAGGGACCTTCCCCTCCCTAAGCGACCTTCGGAGACCTGAAATAGACATGATTTGCCCAAGAGTGGTCCTTAGGATGGCCTTTGGGATGCGGCATGAAAGGACCGTCAAAAGGACCTCATTGCAATTTGGGTATGAGTACCTTTTCTAAAAAAAAGTGGGAGCAAACGCTTTCCCACAAGCAGGAACCTCTATTTGATTTAGCCTGTCCAAGCAGATTTTGCGAATCGAGCCGCAAACTAAAAGTTGTGGTTTGCTTCTCAGGCGACTCTGGAAAGCGGGAATTGTTGAGGGCTTCCCTGTGGTTGCCAACCCGAAAGGCACCACCGTTTTTTTGTTTAAAACAAATCGACCTTAGCTGTTGGATAGTTATGTTGTTGGAAGTTGTGGGAGGTGATGTGGGTGTGGCATGGTTTGGCATATGTTGGCATGTGCTTCAATCGCAACAAACAGTCGCCTGAAGTCTGAGTCGTCAGATATGATGCAAACCATGCCCTTCGGCTGCTGTTCACTGATGGGCGCAACGGCGCGCATTGCGTCTCGCACCAGCCTTGGGCACATCGCAACACGCGATGTGCAGCAAGCGATGTGCGTTCAAGAGACAATATGGGGATGTCTCAAACAGGGACCCCAAAATGGTTGCCTTACCTTTGGCTTCTCTCAAAAACAACCTTCTCTGGGGGCATTTCTTCAAAGGTTCCTCCTGTAGGTGAGGAGGGCAACCATTGTCGGAGAGACTGTCATTTTGCCCGGGAAGAACTGGAGAGCTTGGGAACATGCCGTACAGCTCAACACTGTTTCCTGGGCGGCGGAAAGGATGTGCTAAGCATCAGGGCTGCAGCGCAGGCCGGGCTCAAAGACTTGCGACCAAAGCCTCTCATGCAACACAGGACCGGACGAATCAGCTTGCTCGGGCAAGACGTTGTTGTATTCCATGTTGATGGAGGATTCTTTTGCGCAAGCGGTCGACATGGCATGTTGAAGCTCGACGAGCCGGCTGCGTTTTTTGCGGTTACGCCCCCACCGCACACGCTACGCGACGCATGTTTACTATGGTCTTAGTCTTGGGAACATTTGAGCCCTGCCCCCGTTGTCCTTTCGATACAGTGTTGCAGCACTGGACATCGAGTCCCCACTCACCTACCCTTGCCTAGTGCAGGTCTT